CTCATGGTGACCCTGATGCAACTTCCTGTGTTGAAAGTAATTATATGAAATTACCAACATTAAAAGTGAATCCAAGTGGAGAATTCTAACGAGCCTTCAAGTTTTAACTTCTGAATGTTCAATTTCTCTTTTTGAGCTGATACCCTCTTTTGATCTTCAGACACAGGTTTCACCTTTTCTGCAACAGATGTTTATGCCACTACTTCATGCTATTTTTGAGGTGTTGCTCCTTCCAGCAGAAGAAAATGACCAGTCTGCTGCTTTAGAAAAACAGATGTTACGGAGGAGTTACTTTGCTTTTCTGCAAACAGTAACTGGTAGTGGAATGAGTGAAGTCATAGCTAATCAAGGTAAGGAATTCAGTTTCTCAAAGGATAGTAGTGTGGTTATTCTCACCTGTTTTTTCTGAGAAAATTATTAGCCTGGTTCCTGGCAAGTACCATTAACTTAATAATCCATTAATTACAGTAGAATGGATTAATGGAAATACTGTGTTCACCTTGCCTAATTCAAATTACCTGTTGTACAGGAATTTGGGGTTGTGAAATACAGCTACAATAGGCATATTCTTCCTATTGAACTTTTCAGTTTAATGTGATCACTGAGCCTGTTAGGATAAGAACAGTGTATCCATCTTCATGTATCATTTTATTTGTCTAGCGAATTGATGATCATACAATATATACCAATGTGTAGCAGTGTTCAGAGTGCTGGGCATGACCACTCAGAGCTGCCACTATTCATTGTGTCTTTTTGGAAGGACACATCAGTAAATTCTGTAAACTTCTATTACTGTTGCCTGATCTTGTTATCTATGGTAGAAGGTATCATGTGACTTAATATATGTGTAGTTACCAGGTTTTCCTCACCTTTACTGGCCACAAGCAAATTAGTTCATATTCACAGTGGGAATTTGAAGTCAGACATCTCACTACTTGATACTTTAAGTGATTCTTTCTATTTGAAGTCCATCAAAATGGCTAGGGACTTGAGAAAGTTTAAAATTACTCATCTGGTAAGTGAAGCTCAGAATTCCTTTCCCCTGTCCTAAAATGGTGTAGTTGGGATAGGAAAAAGTAGCATTGAGTAGTGAGAGCTTTCTTGAAAGAGGCGCTTGGGAGTTGCAATAGGCCAAAAATTTTTTCAAGGAATCAAACAAATAAGCATAGATGCAGCACAGAAATTTTAATTGTGTGAAAAATATCCTGTCATATCCTGCAAGAAAAGCTAACTACTTCAGTGCTGCTGAGTTTTAATTAACTCTTCCAAGTTTAGGTGAAGAGGACAAAATTTGTATTTGTAAACAAAGTACTGCCCTGACCTTTGTGTGTGTTAAAGGCCAGAAGAGCAATTTAAATCTCCAAACTTAAAAAAAAAAATTATAACCTAAATAAGAGTTGTCTTGCATCGTAGGGGAAACTTCCCAAAAATATTTGAGATTTGTGCAAAAAAGAGCTATTTTGAAGTTGAAGCATGTCTTCCAGGTCAGTATTTGTATAAAATAGTGTATGATACCAAAACATTTTAGGCTGCAATTTGAAGTGACAAGTTTATTTTAATGTGTTTAAGGTGCAGAGAATGTGGAACGTGTGTTGTTCACTGTCATTCAAGGAGCAGTGGATTACCCAGATCCTATTGCACAGAAGACTTGTTTTATTATTCTTTCTAAGTTGGTGGAGCTCTGGGGTAAGAATGTCTTTCCAGAATTCCTATCCATCTGCTACTACCCAGGAAGCAATAATAGAACTTAAATTATTTTTCTTTTTAGGAGGTAAAGATGGACCAGTAGGTTTTGCAGACTTTGTCTACAAGCACATTGTTCCTGCATGTTTCTTAGCACCTTTGAAGCAAACGTTTGACTTAGCAGATGCCCAGACAGTACTGGTGTGTATTATGGATGGGTTTTTTTGCATTTATCCCTATGGGGCAGATTCAAGCTACCAAAACTACAATAGCCATGGGGTATTAAAGATTGTTATCTCAGAAATAAAATCCCTTAGGTTTTGCAGGATTTTTTTACATTTAGGTATCTGTATGATTAATTATTGAATATTGTGATAGTGTATCCTGTAGTTTACCTAGGCTTAAAATCAATTGGAGATCTAAGTATTTAACATTGACCTGCATTATTTATTAACTAATGTTCAGTGGAATTGAACACACAGAGTTGGCTGTTCTTAGTTCAGTTTGGATTCAGCTGTGCAGGAGTTTTTCCTTATTAGAGGGGAGCAAAGTCTGGAAGGTCAAGACTTGGCATTGTGTGAAGGGAAAATGAAGGGATAATGGCATGAACTAGCCCTTGTTTTGGGCCTCATTAGGTTCTTTAGCTTCGAATAGTGAACCAACAGACCAATCCAACAGCCTAATGATCTGTATTACATTTCAGGCTTTATCAGAATGTGCAGTGACATTAAAAACAATTCATCTCAAAAGGGTAAGCTTCATCATACTTCACAGGGAATAACTGTCACAGGTTTCTTTCTAGTGGTTTTATCAATTTCTAAAAGTTAGATACTTACTAGGATGAATTCATATTTCACTGTCGTATAAAATAACAGGATGATCATAATGCTGTGCATGAGTACAGGATCCAGTGGTTCTGCCTTATGATAAATTAATGCAAAATACTGACTCTTCATTAAGGAGAAAAATCTGCTTGCTTTGTTGCTGTCCTAGTTCCAGGGTAACTTATGTGAATTAGTAAAGTTGATTCACTTTCCCTTGGTAGATCTATTGGGTTATGTTTGTATTCTGACAGCTTATGCAGTAATCCCACCTGTGCTGAAAGTCATCTGATAAATATAGGTAAAGAAAACAAAAACTGAAGTGTTAATCAAAATGTTTGTTTCACTCAAAGGTTTGGACATTCCATTTTTTTACTGCTTAGTTGACTGCATATTACATATGTTCAATGTTATAAGAGGAGAAATACTGTGTTCATCTGCACTTGGCTACTGAATTTTACAATGGGAGTAGTATGGTAAAGCAGTAGGCAGATGCTGATACCCAGTTATTTTATTTCTTCCAAATGTCAGATAATGAAATTGGAGCTGCCTCCATAATTAACTATCTCTCAGAGTTGACATGTAACAAACTGTTTGATTCTATTGTAATTCTTATTTCAGTGCAATTTTTAGTGCATTTTTCTTTTGTGTTATAAAAGATACCAAATTGCGGTAGAACCTTTAATGCCAAGATTGGGAAGTCTTTTTATTTGCTAACAGCTGAGAGTAACTTAGACATTTGAAAAGCAGTCCTTTTCTGTAAAAAGGTGATGTAGACTACCATACAGTACAAGGCTATGATTTTCAGCTGGGGAAAAAAAAAATGAAAACATGAAAAAAACGTGTACTGCTTTTCTTTAGGGTCCTGAGTGCATTCAGTATCTTCAGCAAGAGTATTTGCCTTCTTTGCAAGTAGCTCCTGAGATAATCCAGGTAGGAGTTCCTAAAAGAATATTTGGAAATCTCTTTAACAATGATAAATGTTAAATGGGGAAAAATGGATATTTACAAAGTTAACCTCCTTTCATCCCACAGTAAAATTTATTCAGTTATTGCATATGGGAATAGGATTAATATATCATAAGGAGTAAAGATACTGCAAGAGTGCCTTGGGAAAAAACAAAAAGTACAGTGAATGTAACTGTCTAAACAATCTTTCTACTTTAATTCAGATTTTAACTTGAAGATATCCTTGTAGATAGTTCTGTTTGTCTCCTCAGCTAAAAGTGAATCAGATATCTTGTATCTGAAAAAAACCCAACCAAACAAAGAGTTTTTCTCTCTAGAATGCATTTGGACTATCACAGCCTTACAAGTTTTTATCCATAACATGTTTTTTTCAGTTGTACATTAGGGAAAATACAACTGAATATCAATGGCTTTACGTATAAATGTATCTCAGCTTGTTTTGTTGCTTCTTTCTTTTGTTCTTCTTTAGTTACTTCTTAGTTATTTCTTTGTTCTCTCTTACAGGAATTTTGTCAAGCACTTCAGCAGCCTGATGCTAAAGTTTTTAAAAATTACTTAAAGGTATAAAGTTATTTTTTTTTTCAATAGCTTTTAGTTCCATTTGAACTTTACTGTACAATTCAGTCATAGTAGTAACTTGAAGTAAAACCAAAATACTAAATTTTTTAGTAGTTTTTAGCTATTGGGAATCTCCAAGTAGTAAAGCAGTTAATTGGAAAGACAGACCAAACAACAACAAACCTGCATCTATAAAACTGTCACTCATCTTTAGCACCTTGCCATCTCAGTAGTTTGATATTCTTGTGGCTTTTGTTTAATAGATGAAAAAGCAAAAATGTGATGCTGTAATTGTAGAGAGTGTCAAAGTGCATAATTTTTGAGACTGTGAGTGTAACCAAATAGCACAGGTCACACAATTAAACTTAATGTGTCAGCCAGTATGTGAAACACAAAAATGAGCTCTGTCAGACGAAATCTCTTACACCTCAAGCATTCCATGTCTTACATTTCCTTTGTTTTCATTTTTTAAAAATCATTTTTTCACAGGTTTTTTTCCAGCGAGCCAAGCCCTGAGGAAAGTACTGGAATCTCATGTACCTGTTTCCATAATGCAGAACTCTGGTTGTTAATTTATAAAAATGCTAACTCTTGTGCCATTCAAACTGGTTTTGTTTTTAAGAAATGTTGCTTTGTGCTCACATCAGTATGTACTTTAACGTTCTGCAAAAAAGAAATGCAAATTCCCCACCTGTGTCTCAGACATGAAGGTATGTGACAACATGAAAAAATTATCTGTATACACAACCTTTTATTATGTATAGGATGATTTAAGCTTACACTGTAACACATACAGCAATTAAATTACACTTATTTTTTAAATTAAATGAATTAAATGTAAAAATACCTTCTGACCATAGCAATGGTTATTAAAATGTGTACATTTTTGATACGGAGTAAAATGTTTTAATAAGACATAAAATTCATTTGTTCATATATGGTGACATAAAAATAAAACAATCAAAGTCCTTCTTGTAGATAGTCATTTTATTGAAGTTGTCTTAATGATAAAATATATATATACCTCCTATAAAACAGATTGGTGTAATAAACAATTTCACTTAAAAGTAGCATCTGGTTCTATCTTTTTTTTATAAAAACAATAAAATTTGATCCAGTAAAATGTCTTAAGTCTCTCTGAATCATTTTAGCTGAATCTTTAGAAGCTACTGCATTCTTGAATCTTCTGTCTGTTACATCCAAGTAGAACCTGGCAATTTTTCTGATGCTTAGGTAATAAATTGTATTGCCCCTTTGCACGTGGAAGATGCTGGCAGAAAGAAAGAATTGCATTCACTGCAATATTTCAGTAGCATCAGTGGTCTATACAGTGATTTTTAGTAGAATGCTGCTACTTTTATTTTTTTAGTTCTGTAACATTACAGACATTTATAACTGTTTCATGGGGGCAGGGGAAAGTTCGAGTCTTGCCATGCATGGGATTTATTATACTTTCCTCATGAGCTGATGTCCATAGTAAAAAGCTGACTTACCTCTAGCATAATCAGATGAGTATTTTTCCTAGACTCTGTAGTGCTGTGTTCTTCAATCACTTCAGTTGAAAAAAAAAATGGGAAGGTGGGTCAGAAGGATCATCCAGGATTAGCATGTGATGATTTGAGCATAGTGCCATTTCTATTTTTCACTGAGGGAAGAGAGTACCTTTACTACTTTCAGTAGGACAGTATCACTTCTGTAAGATTTTGTTCCTGATTTATATGTGTTTAATCAAAAATTTCTTGTTATTTGATTTGTTATATCACAGAATGAGTGCTTGTAGTGCTTTTTGTATTTCCTAGTTTCACGGTACTGTTTTCCCTCTCTTTGCTGCCATACCAATGCTCCATTTCATTTTCTCCCATAGCACTAGAAGCCTTCCCTCTCTGACTTGGAGCTTTCCAGCTGTTGCCACTCTCCTGCACCTCCCCGTATGAAGGTTGCACCCCTAACACTGCAGCTGTGGCTGTCAGTCCTCTGTATCTGTCCTGGCCTCCTTCCCTGACAATTACAGAAGCTTTACCACACCAAGGGCAGAGCTTTCACTAGGCAGATTATGAGGTGAACAAAAAGCTTCCATCTTCAGCAAAGCTTTTTGGGTTTGAGTCGCTATTAGTTTTCATATATGACTTAGGGTTTTGCCTTCTCAAGTAAGGGCAGTAGTGCTAAGAGGATGATTTAGCTGTTACCAAATTAGACCCTCATAAGGAATGTTTTTAAACTGGCCTCTGCTAAAAGAGACTCTTTTCCTTCCTCAACCCCACCATCCTTTACTCTTCCTACAGGTCTCTTTGTACCAAATTTGGAGCTCATCTGTACCCATAATCTGCTACCCAGGAAGCTGAAGCAGCAGAAACACTTCCCCCTCACACTGTGTTGCCTGCTCTGGTGGTGGCAGGTGAGAATGGATATAAAGCAGAGCGTGCCAAGTGTAGGAGTGAGCTGTGTGTGGCATCCATTATGTGGGTGTGCCTCTATTATAAACTTGTACCCTGCCCTCCCTTCCATCACTGAAGGAGCTTCTGTAGGATGAGTAGTCTGGATCTTCAGAGAATGTTAGTTGGTTAAGTCCAAAGAATTAAAAACGGATTCTTCACTTTTATATGCTTTGCCTCTGTTCAGTCAGCATACTGCCCTGTCAGGGCTTATGCAACATGAGCTGTAAAACATCACCTGTGGGGTAGTTTCTGTATCTTGAGCTTAACATGTAATTACTGATTCTGGCTACAAGCAGGTTTTGTGGTCTTTTGGGGTTTTTTTTGTAATTTCCTTCAGTAGTGCAGACAGCAGGTCTGTAGCTGCTATATCACAGTTGGGTTTGTGGTGGGTGTTCAGTGCCTAGTAACATTCTTTGTAAAGAGTCAAGGTTTAGGAAGGCAATTGCTGGGTTTTTACATCTTTACTTTGAAGAAGTGGACTCCTGTTGCGCATGGTTTTTTTTAACATCTGGACTGAGAAGTTCACTACCTACCTGCAAAGAGAAATCTAGTGATGCACCTTCTAATCAAGAGTGTGAACTAGATTCTTCAGGCAGTGTCTTCATACTTAGATCATAACAGGAAAACTACTCAAGCACGTGGTGTGACTCCCAGGGATGGTCTTGTGCAGAGCCAGAAGTTGCAACTCAATGATTCTCAGTAGGTCCCTTCCAACTCAGCATATTCTATACGTCTGATATTTTGTGTGAGATAGAAGGAGAAGAAGATAAGAGATAAATGAGAGCACTCCACTCAGAGATGGGGTTGACACTCACAATTTTCCAGACAAATGTTAATAATTTCATTTAAAGGCTGCACCAAACACAACCACCTGCAGCTTTCCTGTATGACTCAACATTATTGTGGGCAAAATGCCCCTATAGCTAGACTGAAGATGTTTAAAATCATGATGGTAACTCCTCTTGTGTATAAAGAAAATTTCCTCTTGTAAAGAGTGTTTAAATGGGAAACACAAATGCAAGTCATAATTAAAGATGAGGGACCTTTTCTAGAGAGCTGGTACCTTTTATTTACAAGCTGGTGTAATGGCTAAAGACTGATAAGCTTTCAGGTCTTCTAACACTTTTCCTGGTGCAAAGTACAATGAGTTTCATGCGAGCTGATATGGGTGAACAAGTTTGGGGCAAAGCACTTACCCAATGCTGGGAAGACATTTTAGCAACTAATTGCTGTCCAGAGAGGCAATCTGCCTTTTTCCCTCTTCTTGTCATCATTGGCAGTTGTTTGATTCCAAAACAAGATGATTTATGGTGGAAAAATAAAGTCAATGCTATGTGGAAAGCTCCCTATCCTGCCCCAGAGACATTTTTTTTTGCTAGAATTTTCTCACTATGGGGTGTAATAAATGCTACAGCAGGTGCCAGGAGAGGGTAGGTGTGGAGGGAGCAAGCCCATTTCAGCAGCAGTTGGCCATTGAGCCTGTTAGGCTGTAGTGTCACTCTGGAGCCTTATGGTCACTGGACTTCAATTGTGACATTTCAGTGAGTTAAGCCAGCAAGAAACCAAAGAAAGGAGAGTGAAGGAAAATAGCAAGCAGATTTTAACCAATTAAGTACACTAGGACTGCTGGGAAGGATGAGCACAAGTGAAACAACCAGACTTAGTGGAAGTAGTGACAAGTGACAAAAGTTGGATGGGGCAGTGAGAAATAAGAAGGGCAGTATCTCCCTGTGAAGGGCAGTAAATCCCTGTGAATGGTGGTAGCAAAAGGTGGCATATAATAAAAACAGAACGTGCTAGAAAATACATTTCTGCTGAGGTCAAGATTCGTGCAGTCCCTGGTAATAGCAGAACTAGGAAGTCAGAGACACAGTGATGATTTGGTGAGAAATGTTTTCTTACTCTAGTAGGTCTTTGTGTTCTCCAGTTGATCTGGTTGCTCACGTTCATTGTGACAGATGCATGGGCAGTATAATTTGTAATTTGTCTTGGGCTGTTGTACACAGGGTTTCTGACTTTCCATGAGGTGGGTACCTGTGGGGGATGTGAATTACACACATTATACAGACATACAGTATGATAATCACAGAATCGTTTAGATAGGAAAAGACCTTTAAGACCATCAGGTCCAACCACTAACCCACCTCTCAAGCCAAGCCCACCACTCAACCATGACCCTAAGTGCCACATCCAACAGATCTGTTAACTACTTCCAGGGATGGAGACTCAACTACTTCCCTGGGCAGCCTGTTCCACTGCTTGACCACCCTTTTGGCAAAAAATTTTTTCCTAGTATCCAATCTATATCTCCCCTGGAGCAACTTGAGGCCATTTCCTCTTGTCCTGATGATTGTGAAGATTGTTTGGTATATAGGTTTTGCATTTGTTGCTTGAGCATGAAGGCTTTTACCTCTCTGTCGCTCTGTTCTTCCTGCATATGATGGTTATTCAATATCCCAGGCATTTGAGAAATGCAGGAGGTACTAAGCTGTAGAGCAAGAGCTTTTTATCTAAGAATGATTTTTTTTTTTTACTGTTAATACAAGCAACTATTCCAGTGCATTTTAGATGGCTTTCTATCTACACCACGAGCAGAAGAGTATAATTAGTGTGAAGTCTGCTTGGGAACATTATCTGTATATGTTGTAAACAACTTTGGAATGCATTCTCTGGTGGCAAGCTGGAAAGAGTTGCCGTACGTCATGGAACTGCATCTTTTCCCTCTACAAAACTACAGAAGAAAATGGCTTAAGTAACATGATAAAAGGCAGCTCCAGCAGAACTGAAGTTGGCTGCTGAACAGCTTTGCTTATTCTACTTCAGCTGTGATGCCTCTTAAGTACTTAAATCAAATATAGAAAGCATATAGATTACAAGAGTAAATAGCCCAAAAGCTTTGATTTTGTTTAGAGAATTTGTTTGTGATACAGGAAAAATAACTATCAACTTGCTTAGCATTTTCAAGTGTACTGTTCTCACCCACTTAATGGTAAAGTTCCTTTTGGTAAGGTTGGTAAAATACAGCTTCTCACTCAAAATTTTTAAAAGTTAAATAATTCAATTGGATGGTTATTCTTTCTTGGCAAATATCTAGTGTTATTTCCACTCTCCCCTGTTTGGAGAAAACCTTATTTTTGCCAGGTTACCCAGAGAGTCCCAAGAAAATTATTAGACGAACATATTATATTTTGCCTGTTTCAGTGCCTTCAGCTCCGAATGACTATGTTCAGCTTGACTTTTGTTTGTTTGTTTCCCTAGCATTTTTTCTTTTTTGAGTTCTGGCATTCACAGCTACAAGTGTGAAGACTGCAACATGCCAGCTTTAGCTGCAGTTCCCATAGCCATATTGTTAGGAAGTAGAGTTCCAATAGTATACAGCTACAGACTGCTGAATTTGTGAGCATGGATGAGAATCCAAATACAAGAGAGGCGAGGAATACCAAAGTTTTACTTATATATTAAAAAGAAATGGAAGCAAGCAAATAATAATAAAAAAAAATCTAGAATGAAACTGCAATGGCACTTTCCTTTTTTGTGTCTATTTTCTCTTATTCTTAATTTGGGCATAATGTTTTCCTCTGATTCATTCTGTGAAACATTTAAAGGTTAAAGATCTTCCGTGCATTAAGGATCACTAATTATGTTGCAGACATACCCAAAAAAATGAATCATCTGGATCATGCAAACCCTGTGAATGTTTTTCATTGCTTCAGGAACAGGGGAAAGCACATGGATGGTAACTGCAGTGAGAGCAGTCAGTGGCCAGACCCAAGGGCCACTGCATCTGAGATGCTCAAGGTCTTAAGTAAACAAAGTCCTGTGGAACCTGGTCTGAAGTCAGCACTGACACTGCTTTGAGCAGGTGACTGGACCAGAGACCTCATCCATCCTGAATGAGACCGTGATTTAAGACATCCAGCATAACAGGTTTTATGTATATATATGATGCTATAAAGCAGCATCATACTTAACCAACAGTTTTGTTTTATTCAAAAGTGGAATCAAATACATATTCACAAAGATGAGTTCCCAGGTGTTTTCCTGATTTTGTGGGGGCCCTCACTAAAATCCATATTAACAATCTGATGAACATTTCTGAAGAAGACAAAGCTGGCTCATGGGTATCCACCTGACAAATTTAAAAAAAGGCTTGCAAAGCTGGGTACAGAAGAAAGGTTAACAAAAATAAACCATGTAACTTCTGAGGACCACTGCAGTGTTTTGAAAGATAAAAGTACAGAATGCAAATATAGCAGGGAACTATTCCCTCTAGAATATAGCATTATAAAGCAAAGTTCAGATGCCAACAAATGGGGAACATGAATTAGGCATTTATATTAAGACCACAAATGCATCAAAGTCAATTTATCAGTTTCACTATGGAGAACTTCAGAAAAACCTTAGTGCCCTGTAACAAGTGAAGCAGACAAAGTCTGAACTTGTGATAAAACCCATGAAAGCTAAGACAATAACAATAAACAAGGCCTGTGAGCAAGAGGCTGCTGTCAGTTCCTCAAGAGAACAGGCTTCCAAGATTTGGGAAGATGGCAACTCCAAACAGGAAATGCAGAGCATCAAAAGAGGGATCGTCTTGGAAGGGAAAAAATAAAAAACAAAACCGTTTCATTATTTTCCTACTATAATTATGATCAGATTACATTATGCATAAATTATAAAGATAACAGTATTTTTCGTTATACAGATCATTTACCGGAACAGCAACATTACCGGACAGACAAAAAACACATACCAAGTGATAAATCAGCCGGGAACTTTAGTTTAAATCAGCAACAACGGAGCGGGAGCAGGGATGTGAAAACTGCTACGATTTCGTGAGGTTTTAACAAGGTGAAACTGAGAAAAATTACACAGGGCGGGAAAACATTTCTCTCGGGAAAATATCTCCCCTGAGGCCGCCGTGGGGAGGCGGGAGGCCTCAGTGTTCGGGCAGAGGCAGCTCAGTCTGGGCAGCCGAGGAAGCGAAACCTCCGCCGGACCGATTACGCAGCAAAAAAATCAGCCCGGGACCCTCCCCGGAACCGCTCCGAGCCCGCGGAATATTATCGCGCCAGCGAAAATACCCGGGGTGACCACTTTTATCCAACACCCGACTGCCACTTTCCCATGTTTCCCAGGTATTTCCCTGTCTCGCCGCCCACCGCCTGGGGGGCGGGCACCGCCGCCTGGGCCGCAAAGCGCGGGGTCCCAGCACAGGCCCCG